GGAGGAGATGGCCACGGAGAAGCCAGTGACTCCCACTGAGGAGCAGCTGGAGATCCTGGAGTACAACTTCTGCAAGGTGAACAAGCATCCTGACCCCACCACGCTGTGCCTCATCGCGGCCGAGACCGGGCTCTCTGAGGAGCAGACCCTGGTGAGTGTGCGCCCCTCGCCCCTGCCTTGGCACCAGCCCTGCTGCCCCTGCATGCCTCTGTGCCCCACACACTCCCCCCCCATCTCCTGCCTGTCCTGTCCCAGGCTCTCTGTCATGCACCTTGCTCCCTTCTGTCCCACCAATGCTCCCTACTGCATCCCCTGCACCTTTCATGCTCCCCCTGCACCCTGAGCACCCCTGTGTCCCATACACTCCCTACTTGCACCACTCTGCAGCCTGCGTACTCCTTACTGCACCCCACACTGCACCCACAAGTCTCCTCTCACCTCTGCAACCCCCCGTGCACCCCCAGCCCCACACGGCACCCACAGAGCTCTACTGCACCACTGCACCTCCCTGCACCCCATGTGTTCCTGTCCCTGCATCCCCAAAGCCCCATCCCCTGTAGTCGCAGCCCCTTCTTCCCACAGCCGTGACCTCCCACATAGCAGCCCTGTGCCCCACTGGGATCCTTGTGCCCCCCTGCCCAGCAGCCCCATTTCCAGCCTGGGCTTGGAGACCAGGCTAGCGCTTCCCACAGCCAGAACAAGGACACACCCCGAGGGTCATCGGGGGCCCCGAATATACAACCATGTGTGCTGTCCTTTCCTTCCAAGCCATTTCTGATAGCCTTGGGTGCCCAAACCACTGCTGCCTTTATAGTCTGAAGAAACTACAATCATTTTAAAACAGATACAGGATAGATGCAACTCCTGCAAATGTGCTGTGGGACATGCTCAGGCTGTGCACGCTCCCCCTCACTGCAATTAGCTAATTCTGTGTCCCCAAGCCCTGCTGTCAGGCAAGTCTGTAAGCCCCTCCAGGAGACAGAGGCGCCTCCAAATTTCCTGTCTGGGACTTCCACCAAGCCCTGTGCTCCCCCTGGCTATCAGCAGGCTATCCTGGGCTTCAGAAGCAAACAGCTCTTTCCTAATTCCTTCAGGTTGCAGTGCAGCCATTTTTGATGCAGGTGTTTTATAAACTACTAGATCCACAGCAGCATTGATGGGTATAGAAAGGAAATCCAAGTCACTGAAAAGTTAGCAGCACTTTGCCAAGAGGTGCCAAGCCTGGCCCTCCCTGGGCAAAGCCAAAGGGATGCGAGAGCCTGGCCCAGGGAAAGATGCTGGTGTAACATCCATTGCACTGATCATCCTTGGCTGGAGTGGAACAGGAGACCCCTCCTGCACTGTGCTCTGGTGACAGGCAGGTACCACTGCTTGTCTGAGGCAGCAAGAAGGCAGTATCCCTGAAATACCTTTTCCTCCTTAGAAATAGCACTCCTCTTTTTTTTTTTTTTTTTTTTCTTCCCCTAAAGCAAGTTGTAATCACAGGCCATATATGCCCAGGACACCTCTGGAGATGTCCTAAAATCTTCCCCAATAGGCATCTTTTTCCACGAATCCAGGGTGCTCCTAGAGATATGGAGATGAAGGTTATGTTAGGGACAGGATTGAGACTGGGATGGTGAACTGCAAAGTGCCTGCATTGCGTACGACACACAGAATCATTGCTCCTGACATCCGGAGTGCTTTATCAGCTAGATATAGTAGGCATTTTAATAAAAAATTTAGTAAAAATGAGATGCAAAGAGGTACTGAGTCAACAGGAGATGACAGTTTATGACAGGAAGGGAAATTTTGGGGAGGAGGCTAGGCAGGCAATCATCTGACTGGACGTGGTCCAAGGCAGTGCTAGTGCGAGAGCCACTTGCAAAGAGCACCGTGGTTGTATCATTACGGACCACAATAGCTTCAAAAATAGCCATGAACAAATATAGCAACAAAATGAACAGCAACAAAGCAAATCACAGGCACATTCCCAAACATAAGGCTGAGCTGTGCTTCCGGCACACGAGTTATCTCTCTCTTCTTAGGGAGGTAGTGTGGCTTTATCCAGATGCATTTTATCTAACATCCCAAATTAAGGCTGTGTTAAAGCGGCATCAGCAGCTCTGGGAGCTGGCTTAGAGAGGCTAAGTTACTACAGAATAACATAGTCATGCATACTGTTTAAAGACTAAGAACATTTTTAACTCATTTTTTAAATCTATTTGTTCTTTTTGCCAAAAGCCACTGTGTTGTCCCTCCCATCCTTTCTGAAGCAGGTCAGCTTTTGATTCTTGTCGGGTTTGGACCTGCAGTGATTGTTTCACTGCTCCGGCCATTTAAACAGACACCATCCAGCAGCTCCTTAGCCAATCTCTCACTCTGTTTGCAAGAAAAACCTGGACTCACAGCAATAAAAGGAGGACTCACCCATGCTGTCAAAGTCTGAAGCACGCAAGAGAAGTGCGTTTGAAAGAGGTGCACACATAAGTAACAGGACGGTTCGGTCAGGAGCGGCTGTCCTGCTGCCTGTACTGCCTGGGAAGAGCGCTGCGCCTTGCTACGAGACAGCAGTGCCGCGAGCGTCCCTCGCCTGGTCCCACGTGCTGACCGCATCTGCACCTTTAGCAAAGGGTTCGCTCAGCCCAGTGCACTCACTCTCTTTTTTTTTCCCTCCCCTCCAGAAATGGTTCAAGCAGCGCCTGGCAGAGTGGAGGAAGTCTGAAGGGCTGCCCTCAGAAAGCGGCTCGGTCAGGGACTAGAGGATGCTGCTCCGATCCCCATGCCCGTTGTAAATGATGGTGAAGCTCTCCAGAGTGGGTTTCCTTGGGGTTCTTCTGTTGCAATAGGTTTTGAGATACAAAGTAATACCCTGCTATTTAACATAAGTTTTATTTAAAGTGTACATAACCAGGAAAAAATATTATATATATATGTGTATACAGCTTCTGATGGCTGCATAAGCTGTCTAGTCATTCCCATCCATTAACAGCAGCTGCACAGGGCAAGGCAATCTCGAGCCCTTGTCCCAGCCTTGCAGAAAAGCTGCCATGAAAGGTTCAAACATAGAAGGGGGGGGGAGATTTATTTTCCTTATGATCACCAGAGGCAAAGTATGTGTGCTAGCTTTAATATACAGATCATCCAAAGAGGAGGGCACCTGGAAAAACAGATGCGTTGTTCAGGTGATCTTGGTTAGCTCAAGATGCCCGAGTCAGCTCTGGATATTGGCAAACCAAGTGCCTACACCACAATCAGACCTAACAAAGCCCCCCCAAATGCATTTCTCACATTTTTGTTAAAGGTCACCAAAGGGAAAGAACTGGTCTTTTTTTTTCTTTCCAACACATTAATAAAAAAAAGTGTTTTGATGAGAGGAGCTGTGTTATGTCCCTGCTGGTGCTCCCTGCCCCAATGGCAGGAGGCAGACTCCTTCCTCTGGGAGGGCAACACTTCTCCAAGGCAACTTCGCTGGGCACCATGGGTTTTCCCTCTTGCCACAGGGATAGCCAAGAGACAGGGTGCCCACAGGTCCAGCCCTGGCATCCCACACAGCCCCACGCACACCCCAAGCCCTGAGGTGGCAGAGGCTGGTGGTGCTGGGGTTCCCCCATGGGGGGCAGGGGGGCAGACCCCAACCTCCTGGCCATTCTTAAGCCTGAGGGATGCAGCTACTCTAAGGCTCTTCCACAAAGCCCAAACTCTCCTTTATCCTGCTACAGGACAATGCATGGGCTAAAAAACAACCAGCACCATTGCCCAGTGACCTTACCTGCTTCCAAAAGGTTCCAAAATCTTGTGCTTAGTGGATTATTGAATCAATCAGTGGATCCTCTGATTAATCATCTTCCGGTTTGTGGTCACCTGCGTCTACTCCTTTGTAAGGAGAATCAGCTTAACACAGGGAAGATTAAGATACACTGGCACTGCAACTGCCACATGCTTTCCTTTATGGCTTTTGTCCCTTGCTGGAGAGCATCGCTCTTGCCTCAGTATCTCCTGCCAGTTGCCAGTCCAAAAAAAGCACACCGAACTCATAGGAAACAGATAAACGCAATCTCCCTGTGCCATGTCTTACACAGGCTGTGCTGTTCCCCTGCCATCCAGCTGCCAAACTGACTCACCCTCAGACCCAACCGCAGCTCAGGGTTTGTTCTGCAGAGTCTGGCACTGATACCTGTTTTCTCCTTAGTCTTTGCAACGTGCCTTCTCCCTTACACTGAGGAGAGTCAGGCTCCAAAAACCCCAATGCAGACCTCCAGTATTTTTCCCAGGGTCACACAACTGAATACCTGAACCGCACATATTTAACCCACCTGTGTAACTTGTATCAAAGATGCATGCAAAGCAACAAGCTGAATCTGCCCATTCTCCAAGCATTTGAACAGGCCCCAAATCCAAGACAACTCAACGCACATGCTACCGCAGCATTTCCCAAGTCCGTAATACAGCTTTTCACCTTATCAAATCCAGCCCTGGATCTGGAATTTTGCAGCCTTTTGTGTGTCTACTTCTGTCACAAGCACAAAACTTTGAGCGTCACTAAGAAAATCTCTAAACTTTAGCAAAAGTTTTGAAACCCAAGGTCAGGCATTGTGTTGCATCAACCTATGGCGAGCCATCAGCTTTGGTTTGCCACACTTCCTTATGTGAAAGAACAGTTCCTGTGCTGGCATCCCCCAGCAATTGTTTCATTACTGCTTTAATTATTACAGCAAAAGAATAAGACGACTGATAAACTCCAGATGTAACCTGCCCTAGAGAGAAAGGCTTCCCCCATTAGGTCAAATTCTGCTCGCTTCCCCTGGTGACTATTTTGTTCTTAAGGAATGACCACTTTATTTAACTCCCCAGATAAGCCCCCTAAAAATGGCTGCTCGTAAGAAAATGTTCCTGCTGGGTGCTGCCTCTGCGCCATGTTCAAGCAGGTTTTCCAGCCACAGCACAGCCTGAAGGGGGTGATGTTCCAAGGGGTGACGGGGGCAGCTGGCACGAGCAGTGGGCTGTGTTTCTGAGGGAGCTCAGCGCTTAATTGGACGAGCCAGGTCTTGGATTCGAGCAGAACAAGTTGCCTTCTTAGCAGTCTCCTTCACTGTGAACGCGTCTGGGTTGAATTGAGCCAAGCTCATAGGAGGCCTGGGGGAGCGAAGACAGAGGCAGTCAATTCCAACTGGAGCAGGGCCAGCTCTCAAATATGCCTGCCCGCCAACACGCCTCCGCCTGAGCCCTGCCTTTCCCTGTCAAGGGAGGACAAAAGCAGCCGTGCCTCTGCTGCTGTCACCAGGACACTTGTGAGAGGGGGTGTCTCGTCTCTCATGGAAGCTGTCACGGCCACTACACCCTCCTCACCCTCTGTGAAACATCCTACCCAGCATTTCCTGCAGCCCAGGCTGAGGCCAGCTGCATCATGGTGGGCAACATGAATGTGCTACATTGTGCCAGCTTTTTAGTGAATAATTTATTCCCAAGCAGTAATTCCTACTGGAATTAGAAAGTTCCTATTTCTTCTCTTTTGATTCTCCTTCCACCTCAGAAATGCTTTTTAAACCACAATCCATGCATTAGCACACCCAGCCATATAATATCCATGCATTTTGGAAGTGGAAGAGGAAAATGTGGCTTATCACACTGGGCAAACCCGAATCAACAAGGTGCCATGGCCTGCATGAAATGGGCTGACAGCTGATCATTTCCTCATGGCGGATAAGCAGCACCTACCTTTTGCAAGGCTGGGCCAGTTCCACGAGCCTTGCTGTGGCCACTGCGTGCTTTGCAGCCTCCGTCACTGGCCACTCAGCATCCCGCATGGGCACATACTCAGGATGCAATCTTTTTGCCCTAGCCAGCTCCAGGGTCCGAGGGCTTGCAATTGCCTTCTGAGCCGACTTGGAAACCTGTGGAAGAATGGGGAGAAAGGTCCTTACAGGTGCTCCTGGCATTCAAGGGTGACCAGCCTCAACTCAGTGTGCCCAGCTTCACAGCCACTGACCACGCACAGATGGGACATGACCCTGTCCACAGTTGTGTCTGGCGCCAGACAAGCTGTGGAAGGAGAAATCACTGCCTGGCCAGTCCCACAACCTTCCCTCCAGCCGCCTCTTACTCGTAGCTCCTTGTCCAACCCACCCCCCAGCACTGGAGAACCCAGTTAGACCCTGTCCATCTCTCCCCATCCCCACAACTGCAGGCTAGGCACAGGTCTGCCCTTCTCTGGGAATGTCTGCTTGGGAGCCAGTTACAAGCTCTGGACAGAGAACAAGACCTGCTCTCCAGCCCAGGAAGCAGCGACATCAGGCTTACAGACAGCAGCACATCCAGGGCCGCCCTGAGAAGAGCCACCAGCGACCGGCCATCCAGTGGCCTCCCCTCTGCCCGGTCTCCCTGCCATGCATGGACCCGGGTGATGCTGCCTTACCGGACGGATGACAGATTCGGGAAAACTGTGCTCATAGCAGCAAGTCACCTCCTTGACCCGGGGCTCTGCGAGATGCTGTAACCGCGAGGATGCTCTGGCCAAGGCTGTGACATTTTTAACCTGTGTTGGCACCTGCATAGGTCCAGAACGGGGGAAGAACATGCAGACACTGAGCTCATCCACAAAAGCCCACAGAGACACAGTCCCTCTCCAAAGGGATGAGCACCCAGCACCCTTCCTCTACAGACATGGACACAAGAAGGAGCACTCTTACTTTTCCAGCACCCATGATTTTTCTTTCACCCAAACTACAAGGTAATTTTGGTGCTATTGGGATTTGTACATCTTAACCAATGTTACTTTTTTTCCCCAACTGTTGCCCACTTGTGGCCAGGAAAGGAACGCTTGTAATGAGAACCTGTGTAGCCAGGTAAAAGTGCAGAGAAATTTCTTCCAGTGCAGAGAAATGCTCTTCATATTCATTTTCCTGTCTGAATCAAGTAATTTCCTTTCTAAGGAGAGATGCTCAGATCTCAGGGTAAATGCACTGGTGCAGTTAACTGTATTTCTACAGCAAAAGTGATTACTGCTCCAGCATTGGACGACTTCCTCTATTTTTCACAGGGTTACTGATGCCAAGGCCTGCTCCAGCACAGCCTCCCTTAATTCCCAGCCCTGAGACTGCAGCCAAAAAACTTAGCTTTTGCCACAGAAATGACTGTAATCTGAGATTGCCCCAAGCCCTTTCACCCTTGCCAAAGCAATGACCCGCCTAAAAGGAGCAAGTTCATAAATACATATCTAAATTAGACTTCTGGTAAAACACTGCTATAATACACATAGTGTTTGCAGGCTCGTCCCCCCTATATACACAGATAGGAGCACAGCTGCTCAACTACAAACACAACTGTACTCCCTAGGAATAGGCCATTCCCATCAGGCTTTTCCACTTTCCCAGGCTGCTTTATCAGAGGATGCAGCTCAGAATCCTCCCTTGGCTCTCCTGCCATTCCAGGCTGCTGCAGCCTGGCTGTTTTCTGCCTCTCAG